ATTTTTTTTTAAAGCCTTTTTATTTTTTTAACCTTGAAAAGTTAATCTAGTTCATGGATGTGGCAAAAGTTTTTTCAAGTAAGTTGGAAGCAGAAAACCCTGGTTTTAGCTTTAAAAGTGACTATCATTTATACCTAGCAGAATGTTAGTTCAATCTACTCTTTGAAAATTTGAAAGTTTTTATGGTCAGTTTTCTATAATTTGAGCAACATTCTAATAAAATTCCCTAATTTACCTTCAGATAAGTCTGTCTGGTGGTTAATACTGCGTGTCAACATTCAGGGTTTCTCTCTTTCCATCCTTCTGTCTTCTCGTCTTCCTCCTCCCCTCAAAAAGAATGTCAGTGCCTGTGTTGAAAACTAAATATTTATGAACATTTTTTAACTTAAAATTTACATTTCTTTCTTATAAAATTTTAACAAAATTGACTTTGCTGTTTGTAATGTTCAATTTTATGGTTAAAAAAAAATGAGGACATCATGCTTGGTAAGGTAGAGGGTCAGCAAAAAAGACGAAGACCCTCAACGAGATGGATTGACACAGTGGCTGCAACAATGGGCTCAAACATAGCAACCAATGATTGTGAGGATGGCTCAGGACTGGGCAGTGTTTGTTCTGTTATACATAGGGTCTCTGTCAGTTGGAACTGACTCGACAGCACCTACCAGCAACAGCATATATGCACTATAAACGAGTTGCCATTGAGTCAATTCCAGCTCATAGCAACTGTATGTATGTGCATCAGAGTAGAACTGTGCTCCATAGGGTTTTCAGTGGCAGACTGTTTGGAAAGTAGATCACCAGGCCTTTCTTCTGAGGCACCTCTGGGTGAACTTGAACTGCCAACCTTTTGGTTAGCAGCCAGGCACGTTAACCCTTTGCACCACCCAGGGACTCTCCAGTTACTGTCGAGTAGATTCCTACTCATGACAACCCTAGGTGTGTCAGAGTAGAACTCTTATTTCCACCTTTTTGCTATTGTGAATAATGCCACAATGAACACTGGTGTATATGTATCTGTTTGAGTCCCTGCTTTCAAGTCTTTTGGGTATATACCTAGGAGTGGAATTGCTGGGTCGTATGGTTATTCTATGTTTAACTTTTAGAGGAACCACCAAACTGTTTTTGTTAGCTGGTGCACCATTTTACATTCTCACCAGCAATGCACCGTGGTTCCAATTTCTCTGTGTCCTCACCAACACTATTTTTTGTTTTTCTGTTATCTGTCTTTTTGATTATAGCCATCGTAGTGGGTATGAGGTTCCTAGGTTGTGGAAATGGTTTACATTCAACTGCTAACCTAAAGGTTCAAACCCACCCTGAGGCACCACGGAAGAAAGGCCTGGTGATCTGCTTCCATAAAGATTACAGCCAAGAAAACCCTATGGAGCAGTTCTACTCTGCATTACACAGGGTCACCATGAGTCAGAATCAGCTCAATGCAACAAGTTTGGCTTTTTATCCCCCCAGTGGGTGTGAAGTGATAACTCTTGATTTTGGTTTGCATTTCCCTGATGACTGGTAATGTTGAGCATCTTTTCATGTGCTTATTGGCTATTTGTATATCTCCTTTACCCATTTGTGTTTTCATTATTGAGTTGTAAAAGTTGTCTATTCTGGATTCTATGCCCTTATCTGATATTTTATTTGCATGTATTTTCTCCTATTCTGTCTTGTTTTACTTTCTTAATGGTATCACGTGCATCGCAAAAGTTTTAATTTTTGATCAAGTGGAGTTTATGTATTTTTTTGTTTTTGTTACTTGTGCTTTTGGTGTCGTATCTAAAAAGGCTTTGCCTAACCCAAGGTTATAAAGATTTACTCCTGTGTTTTCTTCTATGAGTTTTATAGTTTTAGCTCTTACATTTAGGTCTTTGCTCTATTTTGAGTTAATTTTTTTACATGGTGTGAGGTAAGGGTCCAACTTCATTATTTTGCAGGTGGCTACCCAGTTGTCCCAACTCATTTATTGATGTACAGTCGATTTTATAAGCTATTGCATTCAGTTTGCTAGTATTTTGTTGAGGTTTTTGTGTCTATATTCATTAGAGATATTGGTTTAGCTTTCTTGTGATGTTTTTGTCTGGTTTTGGTATCAGGGCCATACTGGCCTCGTTGAGTTGGGCAGTGTTTCCTTCTCTTCTGTTTTTTGGAAGAGTTTGTAAAGATTTGGTATTAATTCATCATTAAATATTTGGTAGCACTCACCAGTGAAGCCTAGGCCTGGACTTTCTTTATGGCAAATTTTAAAATTATTAATTCAGTCTCTTATAAGTCTATTCAGATTTTCGAAGTCAGTTTCAGAAGTTTGTGTCTTTTAAGAATTTTCCAAGATCCTTAGAGATTATATGTTCATAATCAAATTTTGGGGTTATTTTCAATTTCCTACATTGTTGATTTACCAAAAGGACTAGTAACAAAGTTATCCAAAATCAAATTTAGAGCCATGGTAAGAATGAAGCTAGTAATGCCTAAGAAGCATACCATATGTTTAATATAATTAATCAGGTCTTAATTAGACATTATATTTAATGTTTCTGCCATTAAATATAAAGACTGGAATGGATTTAAAAAATTATCCCTGTTTAAAAGAATCATTTTGAAGAGTGTTGTATAAAACTTAGTACCATAGATTCCTGTTAGGTTATGTGTTGGGTGGGTGGTGTCAGCAAATAAGAAGTGATATGATAGAACTCTACTGAAAAGGCATATTGCTGTGTTAGAAAGTACATTAGACTAGGAATGGGGAGACTTGGGCTCTGCTTCCTGTTGTGCTGCTTATTAGCTTAGGTGAGTTAAACTTAACTTCTTAGCCTCCGTTTTCTGACATATATAAAATAGAAATAATATCTCTCTTGTCTCCATTGTAAGGTTGTTCCGTATTTTAGAGTAAATAATATTGAAAATAGTTTCAAAACTAAAACATTGTATACAATGGAATATTATAAAAGAGATATGAAGTACTGATACTTGCTATAGTACAACATGGATGATATATATGAAAGAGAATGAATGAAATATTGATTATTGCTACAACATGGATGAACCTCAAAAACATGCTAAGTGAAAGAAGCTAGTTGCAAAAGAGTGTATGTTGTATGATACCGTTTGAAATTTGTACAAAAGAAAGTAGATTAGTGGCTGCTTTGACTGGGGAGTAGGGGAGAGGACCTTGGTTGGGTGGGAAATGGGGAGTGACTACTAATGGGTACAGGTTTCTTTGTAGGGTGATGAAAATGTTCTTAGATTATGGTAATGGTTGTACAACTCTATAAATATACTAAAAACCATTGAATTGTATAATTTAAATGGTTGAACTTTATGGTACATAAATTATGTCTTAATAAAGCTATTTTAAAAAGCAAAAGTAAAGCACTATAGAAATGTATGCAGTATTCATGTTACTGGTATTTTACACAAAGGTTCATATCAGAACCAGTTCGCTCTATGCCCACCAAAATAAAATTAGACCTGAGATTCTCTGACCTCTTAATTTTTTTAAGTCCTTTTGCTTGCTACTTCTCTTCATGGCCTCTCTCACCCCCAACTAGGGATTCATAATGAATAGCCCAGCATTGTCTTCTACCATTAGATATACTAGGAATGATACTTTTCTTAGTATATCATAAGAAAGGCATTTTCCTTTTTAGATACTGTATATTCTCAGAAAACACTTCAGTGCCTCCCTTACTGCAGTCATTGTTCTGGGAATGCGCCAGTGTACAATGGCTCTTGCCATCACGAAGCCCTTAGTCTAGTTGTGGACAGTAGGAAAAGCACGCTCGTTACGTGCAGGGTAAATTTACAAGTATGTTTAATCCCAGTTTCTCCACTATTGCTCTTGTTTCTGTACTTTCTTAATATAGAAAATAGATGAAAGCAGAACTGATCTGGTTGAAGAGGGCCTGAGAGGCCTGGGGCTCCGTTCACTACATTTTCCTCCTCTTCCCTTCATCGTCATCCTTGCAAGACCCTAGGGTTCTGTTGGAACACAATTTGAAAACCTGTGGTCTAAATTAATAGCTAAGAAACCAGAGGGCTAGGCCAGGCGTTCTTAGAATGTGGTCCCCGACTAGCATCTGCAGTATCACTTAGGAAGTCATTAAAAATGAAAATTCTGAGGTCACTACTCCAGATATACTGAATCAAAAATTCCATTGGTAGGGCCTAACGATCTGATGTAGTAAGCTCTCAATGTGATTCTGATGCTAGGTTTGAGAACCACTGAACTGGAATGTTTAACTGAACGAGTTGTCTAAGATCATAATTTAGAGCCATGATTCCCAAAATGTGCTGGGGTGCCCCAGTATCCTGCAGAGAACTCAGAAGGGTGCTAACAGCATATTTTACATTTTGGAAGGAAACACAATGATACTTGACATCTCTTGAACATTGTGTGAACTACTAGCTTGAGGTAATTAACAGTTTCAGTATTAGCTTGATGATACCATGTCTTTGCAATCTGGGTGCTATGAGAAAAAGCAAGTGCCAGTGTGGAATAGGAAATGAGGTTAATGGTGACCATTCTGATTCCAAGGTTTGAGAAGTTTGCAGTGCCTGACACATCCCGTTAATAATTAAGAATAATTTAAAAAATTTTTTTTATTTCAGTTTATGTATTATTTTTTAAAAACAGCTACTAAATTACTTGTTGTTTGCACCTAACTACTTAAAATTGGAACTATTAGGTATTCTTTTGGCTAGGGGCATCATGAAAAAATTACTGAGACACCAAGGGGAGGTTACCAGCCCAGAAAGTTTGGGAATCTCTGCTTTAGAGGATTATGCTAACTCAGCATTTTACCAAAGGGTGGGGGACACCTCTTACCTTTTCTTTGTCTGTGATGAAAAGTTTGAATTAGTAATTTTAAGTCTGATTAGATTATATACAATTAATAAAATTGTCTTAGCATGGTTGTTCAACATAAAAAATAACACTTAATCCTGTGAAATTTCAGCAGTACATCTTTGCATGAGAATCTTTCTTCTTGCCTCTGTAGGTATGGTCTGAATATGCGTTGCTTGGCAGCTCGGGTCAACTATAAGACTTTGATTATCATCTGTGCACTCTTCACTTTGGTCACAGTACTTTTGTGGAATAAGTGTTCCAGCGACAAAGCGATCCAGTTTCCACGACACTTCAGTGGCTTCAGAGATGGATTAGAGAAAAGAGCAGCAGCATCTGAGAGTAACAACTATGTGAACCACATGGCCAAACAGTCTGAGGACGCGTTCCCTCAGGAACAGCAGAAGGCGCCCCCTGTTGTGGGGGGCTTCAATGGCAATGGGGGAAGCAAGGTGTTAGGGCTCAAGTATGAGGAAATTGACTGTCTCATAAATGATGAGCATACAATTAAAGGGAGACGTGAGGGGAATGAAGTCTTTCTTCCATTCACTTGGGTAGAGAAATATTTTGACGTTTATGGAAAGGTGGTTCAGTATGATGGCTATGATCGATTTGAATTCTCTCATAGCTATTCCAAAGTCTATGCACAGAGAGCCCCTTATCACCCTGATGGTGTGTTTATGTCCTTTGAAGGCTACAATGTGGAAGTCCGAGACAGAGTCAAGTGCATAAGTGGGGTTGAAGGTTGGTATCTGACTGTTCCACTTGCATTTGCTACCCTGATTATGTTGAAGAATAAGAAAATGTAGGTTTTAATTATACAGCAAATACATAGCTTACTGTCAAGAGACCTTTCATCACTGATGTAGCAGGGAGGAACAGGTTAAGTCTGAGCCTAGGGCTTATCCCTAGATGGTATGATTTAAGGGCTGCAATAAGATCCTACTGGATCAAATAGGATTATTCAATTAACCTGCCTCAGAATCTAAAATTCTCACCAGTAAGGTCAAGGCACAGCATTCCCAGCAATTTCATGTTAAAAATATACAGTTATTATCCTCTGAGAAGAGATGGGAAAGGGAGAGAGACCATTCATCGATATACCAATGCAGTCTTTTTACCAGATTAGCCAGATGCCATCCCTGGAGGGAGGTTTAAAGTCCTACAGGACAAGACAATACATAGGTGCCATCTTCTCTGAACCAACAACTGAACCACTGTAGTCCATTACATACTGTCTTGCAGTGTATGCCATTCTTTCGTGGTCTTTAAAACCTGGGGGTTTCTTGTGGACATTAACAGTACATTTTGCAATTAGCATTTCAAATCTTGGGTTAATCAGAAAGCCAACTTCCATTTGACTTTAAAGTACGTCATTTAAAATGGGGAAAGAATTTAGGTGTGTGTTGATTGTCAAGTACAAATGTTAAAATTTCAGGATTTTATTTTCTACACTAAAGTTCTGTGGTAACATTATCTGTGTATCTAAATTTGTAAAATTTGAGTATATGAAACAGGATTACAAAACATGACATCTGTAGCTATGATCAAAAGTAACACACAGATAAAAAGTCAGTCCTTAAAAATGTTTTATAACATTGCATTGCCATCTGTCAACAAATAATGAATGAGTTAGTGAATACTTAATTTTGTTTTCTATCCCTGGTTAATTTGGTAGTGGTTTTTAGTAATTACGTAAACAACGTAAAAAGGAAACATTCTCCAGAAGTAAAACAGTGGAGAGTAGTGTTCAGAATAGGCTTGTAAATGTCTTTGCATAATTACTCATTTTGTTTCTCTATTTTATAGGTGTGCCATTATCTACACAATGGGGACCTCAAGGCTATTTCTACCCAATCCAGATTGCGCAGTATGGGTTAAGTCATTACAGCAAGAATCTAACCGAGAAACCCCCTCACATAGAAGTATATGAAACAGCGGAAGACAAGGAGAAAAACAGCAAGCCTAACGACTGGACGGTGCCAAAGGGCTGCTTTATGGCTAGCGTGGCTGATAAGTCTCGATTCACCAATGTTAAACAGTTTATTGCTCCCGGTGAGTAATGTATTGTGTGTGTCTGCTAATTGTATGTTGATTTATGGCACTTGATACGCCTTTAAAATTTTTAATATGATTTTAAAAAAGCACATTAGTAGACCTTTTATATTAAATATATAGAGAAACAAATGGCGTTACCCAAGCAACATCCCTAAAGAAGGAACAGGTAAAAACTCAAGGTTATAAAAAGGAATATGTATTGTGTGAAGAGCCAAGCCACAGATTGAATGTTAAGATCCAGGTGAACGCATGGTGTGTACTGGTGTCTCCTTCCAAGGATCTCTATCCCCCAGGAATGAAGTCCCTCAATTTATTTTAATATTTCAGTTCAATATTTATTCTTTAATTTTTAAACAGTTTTACATTGAGGCAGAAATTCTTCTTTCTGGAGAGAGTCATCCTTCCCTTTGCCTATTTTTTACCAGTAGCTTTTTTTTTTTGGGATAATATAGCATTGCCAAAGATAAGTCTGCTTCCCATATTGAATTTTGTTAATGTACAAGATTGTCTCAAACTTCATACAAAACCATTTTCATTAATAAAATCATTTATAAAATCAAATTAACTTTATGCAACATTTCCCGTTTTACTAAGATGGTCTCATTAATTAGGATGTAATGCATTTTTCTCCTCTAATCAATATCCGTGAGAATTAATGAATCCATTACTTAAAAAGACAATGAAATGATTTCAGTTAGCACCTTGGGCTTAGTTCTGTATGGAGAGATGCTGTCAAGAACAGAACTCAGTCCCCCTCCCGTCAACCTTGCATTGGGTGTCTAAAAATAGTGGAAAGGTTATAAGACCTCTTGTGTATTCTCTCCTTGTCCTTTATTGGTGACTGTGTGATTCATAGACCTTGAAAACCACAATACAAATCTACTCATTCTAAATGGCCTTAAGTAATGGATTTATGAGTGCTTAATGCCGTGCAAACAATGGGTGACCTTTAGTTTTTATTCGGTGACTAGAACTTCTTTGCTCCCGTGGCATTCTGTGATATTCCAGTACATAGAGCATCTTTGCTTATTTGTAAAACTGTATGCTTGGCTGGGTGAGAAGTTGCATGCATATGTTTAAGAATATTTAGCTTGTCATACCTAAGTAGTTATTGCAGCAGGAAATGGTTAAACTGATTAAGCAGGTTTGGGGTGTAGCCAAGGAGCTTATTTTTATACTGATTACTAATATTGTCTGGCTTAGGGTAGAAAACAGCAGTCCTCATCTTGTTCTCCTCAAGTATCCAGGAAGTATTCTAGAATAATCTTTTGAACTCTGTCCTATTTAGAGCAACAGATTTTATTGTACACTTTGGGTGCCCCAAGTAATATAAAAATAGGTCCAGACATACCAATAGGGGGATCCTTACCTTAGCCCTACATTCTGTAGCTAGTAGCTAGAGGTAAGGCAATCTCTAAGGTAGTTTTACGCACATGGAGTAGAAAACTCTGGCTGTGACAGTGACTCTTCAGTGGGATGCAAGCTACTCAGGGTTGAGACTCCCTGTTGGTAGGCACATGCTGGCTGGGATTGGGTGCTTGTGTTTATATCCTGGGTGTGCCTGGAGTTGTGTCTGATGAACAAGAGCGAGAGAGAGTGAGCTGGAGTTACGTGGGAGTTGTTGCTAAGAGCATTGTTTTTATCGAAGCATAGGTATGGGAGATGGGGCTGTTTTTTAGGGGCTGTGGGCCTCATGGTGGCTAAATTGAGAGAACCATTGTTGTGAAGAAGAAATTGGGACTTATACATAAAAGCATACCCCTAAGTGAGGTGAGGCTCTGGAGGACCAGGGGCTGAATGCTGTCAGCCTCCAATTTTCTCCCTGAAGGGAACAAAATCATCTAGGGAAAAGAACATAACGTGGGTCTGCAGCGTATTTTTTACTATCTTATTTGTTGGATAAAGTTTTGTTCCTCTTGCTCATTTTCAAATTGAATAAATTGAAACTTTATACCTGTCCTTCTCCTCAATTAACTTTCCCTTTCCTGAAGCACTCTCTTCTCTTGGTCTCCACGTCCTCACCTTCCCTGTCTCTGTGGCTATTCTTTCTCAGGCTTCTTGTGAGCTTCTCTTCCTCTGCCTGACCCTTATCTTTCAGTGTTCTGCAAGGATGTGATTAGGGCCTCTTCTCATTCCACATAGTAAGTTTGTTGATTAAATGAATGAATGCAAACAGTTTGTACTGTATGTAAAAACATTGATTTAAAGGCTGTTCTTAAATGTTTATCATCCTCTGTTGCCTAAAGTACATATACCAAAAATAAACAGATACAGTGACTCCTGGGAATAACTGCTTAGAGAGAGGAGGGGTCGTGGATTTCAAACAATAGAAAACTCAGAAGTTTCTATTAGTAGATTTAAAGCAGGAGTCTACAGATAACATTAAGACCTTCCAGTAGAACTCAGAACCTTGCCTAGTATATTTCCAGACTGGTTGCTACAACTATAGTCACATCCCATTTGCCACTGTTCAGATCCTTGTGAGTGATGCTGGAAGCCTGTTTAACCTCTCTGTACATCTATAAAATAGGAATTAAAAGACCTATCTTATAAGATTGTTGTAAAGACTATGATTGTTGGTTGGTTGATTTAAATTGGGGGTTATGGCTTCTCTGTCACTTCTCCTGTATGGCTCAGTAACCCCCCAGTGATGTTAAGGTTTTAGGAAAATTAATAGTTTTGAAAAAAGGTTACATCTCATGGTAGCATTCATTACTGATATCTTTGGACTGATCTGTTATATTGATATACAAAGTCATTGATTGAACCATATAGTTTCATCAGATTTATATACATAACGTGAAAATTAGAATGGAATTCTGAGAAGAAAATGAGTACTTCTTTAGCTTCCTCTAATTTGGATTTCTAAAGATGGATCATTGTTATCCAGGTTGGTGAGAAGGGATGTCATAATTAATAATATTGTCTGATTAATGAGGCATTACCCTACGAATAAAACAATAAGTAGCACTCAGTCTGCTCTGCTGAATATAATTTAATCTTGGGTGATTCATAAGTCAATTCAGAATCCTGCAGTGTTTCAGGGATGTTGTACTGAGTGTCAGCTTCCATGTTACTAAAGAGGCAGAAAAATGCTGGTTTAGAGAGAGATTGCATATTGACATTTTGCCAGATAAAATGGGTTCTTAACTATATTGGAAGTATACTTCTGAAATCATTTTTAGGAAGTCTTCTAAAGCATCATTTGATGAATAAGTCTATCAAAGATGTTCTCATTCTTGATTCAATTTCTATAACTGTCTGTTCCATCAATGAAGTAATTAAGAGCCCTGGGCCAAATATACACACACCGGTAGAATCCAGTGTTGTGAACGTTAAACGATCAGCTCAACATTCTGACACCCGCCAAGCTGATCCCACTGTATAGAATCATCAGTTCACATTTCCTGTCTTGCTCCTGGTAGCACACTAAATATTTCCTCAATGACTCCTCAAAGCAGATCTGTTTGTATGTCTGTGGAAATAACCCTTCCATTAATTATTCTCATGGGATGCCATTTCCAACATCATTCATCTTTTTCACAGTCTTTGAACTGGGGTCCAGGAAACTTAGCTGTTGGCCTTGGGCAAATGATTTAACCTTGCAACACTTTTATATCCTTACCTCTAAAATGGAAATAATAATTTCCCTACCAGCCTCAGAGGGTTATTGTAAGGATCAAATGAGATAATACATGTGAATGTATTTTGAAAATTTAAGCTCTATAAAGATGAAGATATTCATATTGACCTTTAGTATTTTAAACTTTTTACTACATATATTTTTGTTGTTGCCGCTACTCCTCCTGTTTGGTTGTAATATGCTCAGTTTCTTTTCTGGGTGGATCTAAACTAGCAGTGTTCAGTAAGTCGTCTTCATGAAAGTCAGTCATTGCACTCTGGATGCGCAAGAGAAATTTCCTATTTGATATTTGATAATTTCTCAGGTAAAATGGCTTTTACTGTTTTATCAGCCTCTGAAGCCAGTGATTTCAGAATAATAATAATAATAATCACTGTCATTTAATACTGTATGCCAGGCTATTATCTTTTTTTTTTTTTTTTCCCTTACGATTACCTTGCAAGGTGTTATTATCTCTATTTAGTATGTGAAGAAACTGAGGCTCAGAGGTGGCTCTTGCTGGAGATCTCAGAGCTAATAAGTGGTAGAGCAAGAATTCAAATCTTGAGGACTCCGGCAAGATGGCGGTCTAGGCAGAAGCACCACGCCGTCCCTCCACAACAAAGATCCGAAAAACTAAGCCAAACAGAGAATCAACAATCCTGAAACCCTAGAACATCAGAT